AGGTATTGACGCATAAGAACGCGAGGGATCGTAATAAATTAATAGCACACTTCAGAATGGGGTACGTAAGCGATTATTTCATCAGTTTCGCCTTGAGAGTGCTTCAACGCACGTACGAAAGTCACGTTCCGGCACAAGGTGAGCTTCAATCAAATAAACTGTTATTAAATCGCCATACTAATTTATTTATTAGAGAAATAAGAAAAAGAAAAATATATTACTATATACATAATATAAATCTATTTAACAATTTTTTTTATATATTCAACAATAATTTTCTTCTATGTGTATATGCGTGTGATAATTCTGTTTCCTTTTTTTAATTGCAGTTTCAATTACTTTGAATATTACATCGTGTATTATTTATGTTAAATATTTTTCTTTTAGTTCTTTTTTTTTAAATCACTTATAAATAAATTGAGTCCATCTCTAAAAGAGGGAAAATGAGAGAGAGAGAATTGTTTCAATATTATAGTAATCCCGTGGTGGAAATTAAGGTGCAGTCTTAAATAGGATTCAGTATACTCGTAGAGCCAATATACAAGGCTGAAAAAAAAATGTCTCGAGGAAATGAATCGTTTCTTGCAACATCCTTCGGGTACGTTACCGTTATCCCTCTCTTTCCATTCTTTTTCCCATAGATCGCGCCCGGTCATCTCCACGTCGTCCGACCGCAACGAGAGGCGAACCCGTTCGATATTTCAACAGCGGGACACAGGCGTGGCGAATGCTTGTTATGTATAGAGCTAACCCATTTCATATCTCAAGCAGCGTGTAAAATGCGTACTAATATGTCATATCTCCTTCCCATTGCTTTTTTTTTTCCCCATCGAAGAACGAGTTTTCGCTGACGTCCCAATTTTAGTCGAATCTTACAGCATTAAAAGAAGAAATCTATTCATGTTTCAAGAAAGATGGAGTAACAAATATTCCCCAAAAAATCGATATAATGAATAAAATACTGTCCCATCACGCTCGAGCTATTATAAACGTGTAAAATGCGTACTAATATGTCATATCTCCTTCCCATTCCTTTTTTTTTTTTTCCCTCATCGAAGAACGAGTTTTCGCTGACGTCCCAATTTTAGTCGAATCTTACAGCATTAAAAGAAGAAATCTATTCATGTTTCAAGAAAGATGGAGTAACAAATATTCCCCAAAAAATCGATATAATGAATAAAATACTGTCCCATCACGCTCGAGCTATTATAAACGTTCGAGTCTTCCAAAACATCGACAAAGTGACTCGCGAGAAAAATCTGAATCTCTTTTATGAGAAATAAATATTCGGCAAAAGCGAGAGAAGGAGAAAAGGGGGAAGGGTTATTATTAGATATCCTTCGTATCGAAAGAACCCGTGGTTAAGACGCATTACGACGTTATCCTGAATCCGTGAATCGTACATGGTTCATCGACCAAGCATGACGGACCACCGTCGTACACAAAAAAGAAATATTATCGAAGACCACGGACGATGCAAATTAATTGGTTACAGAGTTAGCGATGTACAATATAAATCCCGGTTCGCAAACGCAACTCGTTCGCGTCGCGATAATGCCATTATCACTAAACGCAACAATTAGACCAATTCCGGCGGAGAGCTTTTTATCCGTTTCGCAAATTGTCTTTTTTTCTCTCGTATAACAACAGGAAGGGAATATCGTTTTAATCGACGTGACCGATGGGGATTTACAGCTTCTTCGCCAAGAGGATGCAATAAGCATATGACGAGCGACGAACGAAATGCGTATTTGATTGTTCGGCCGACAGGCAAAAAATCCCCGCAAAAAGTTATCCCGTGTAACGTGGGCTATTTGCAAAACACGCGACTTTCAAGCCACGCTCTCGTTCGGCACATACGAACGTAAAACGATCGGTGGACTAAAAATAAAGATTTCATCACAAGATAAAATCTCTCTCAATATGAATTAATATAATCCATCGTTTATATACAACTATTGGACAATTAGAGGCAATATAATATAAAGATTTAAAAAGAATTGGATAAAGACAAAAAAAATTGATGTTTTCTGAATTTTATATCCTTTGAATTTAGGTAAAAGAGAATTGATTATGGAATTTTTTTATATAAACAATCTATATCCATATTTGTGTTTTTATGTAGATAATATATTATCTCTTTTCAAAACTTTTCTGTTCGAAAAGCAACTAATATTATTTATCACGTAACCGACTTAAGTTATTGATTCTGGCGTTACGGAAGTTATGAAATCAACGTTAAAAGCATTACGTTATAATTAATTAATTAATTAATCTCTCCCAAAACAGAGCAATTTATATTTCACGGTTATTTGCGAATCTCGCCCACCGGAATAATGGAGATGAAAAACGGTACCTGCCTCTCGTCTCGAAATAAGGCTCGGTCGAATTTACTAGATTCTGAAATACGGTAAAATTGAAAAGTTATCCCCAACGAACGACTAATGTAATCCGGTTTGGAGTTTACGATTTAACCGGTTCGCAATATTCAACAGTGTAACATACGCGAAATTTCACCGGCCAATTAAGCTGTGTAGTACCTTGCGCGAAGTAATTTGCGATAAAGTAATTCGAAGCTTGGCAAGAATGTATGCAAAACGCGATTCACTCGACTCGAGTGGCATTAATTTAGAGTCACCGTTGTCCGCGGAAAAACTGGTTCCAAGGTGTTACGCGTGCAACAGGACTGTTCTAGATTCTGAGGCAGGTTCAGTTTCAAGCGTCAAAATTGACCCGCGGATTTCAGAAGTTATCATAGTTGATTTCAGTGATATATTATTCCGATGGCGTAAAAAGGAACTTTAACCCAAATTTTCGTGAGAAGAAGTATAATCTCTTAAAGAGATACTCATGCAATCATGTGGAAGATTATTTAAATAGTTAACATCTCGAAAAATTATAACATTAGATCGTATAATATTCTATTTTTATATATTCTCATTGTGCATACAAATATCGAATACCAATACAAATATGAAATATATTAATAATTAATAAATATAATAATGAATAAATAACATATATAATAAATGAATAAATAAGTCATAATACTTTGATACAATAATACAAATATACGAAACATAAATTTGAAAAAAAAACTACGATAGGTATGTATTCGCGATGTAGTTTTCATGCGTTCTAAAATCTTCTATCGAGAAAACAAGTTGTACCAAGGAAAAAAGACTTGGATTTGTCGGGTATAAATAGCCCATACAAATTTAACGCGAGTCGTTATCGCGCCTTGCAGAAGGAAAAGCCGATCGAATGTGGAAAGGTCTGAGTAAAAAAAAGCAGGGTATACGCGAACCGCGGAGAAAGACGGCTTGCGATAAAACTGCATGGGGCTGTCGAACAAACTACCGACGACTACGATAGCGCGGTTATTTATTTCGGCGAGGTCACACTGGTCTTCCATTGAACTTTATCCTCGAAACAATTCTACGATCGAGAGCTACGCGGGACCGAGATCCGTATTTCGCCTCCAGTTTCGTTCCCCGATAAAAGCGTCGGTCGAAAAATTCAAGAAATACGAGAAACGACGAGAAATTTATACCGATTTTTCAGATACCGTGATGAAAAAGCTCGCCCAAGCTTATATTTTCTCAAGGAGAAAATTCTCGAGAGCTCCCTGTATTTTATAGTCGCAGATCAGAAACATAAATCACATAAATTACATAAAGATACGTAAATCTATTTCTGATTAATGAATTTTGAAGTTTTCAATCGTATTTTTCATTGATGTATTTGTTAAATTAATAAATACGTATATCTGTGCTCGTAGCTTCAAAAAATGAGGCTTATACCCACGCGAAAAAAAAATCAAGCTGAAGAACAGAACAATCGCGCATGTACAGGATCTCTGGTCAGCCTACTCCTTTCCCTCGTCCCTTTTTTTTTTCTTCGAGAAGAAAGATATCGCTCCGTGAAGGAGAGAGAGTATGTGGCCGACCACATAGTATGCACAAAATCCGGCCCCAAGCTGGGGTAAGATAATAAATATGCAAAAAAGAGGAGTTTCGATGCCGTAAATAAAAACGGCGGACTTGCGTGCTGTGCGAAAGTCTGCGGTGAGAGAGGATCGTGCGATTCGAAATAAAAGAACGGTAGGGCAGAGAAGGGTGGTACGACAGGGGGTGGAGGAATGCAAAAAAAACGAGAAAGGAGAAGGAAGAGGAGAATGAGGAGAAGAAAAGAGGTGCAGCATCTTCTGTTCCTTTCGCGAGGTGGCAAACGCGCGTTATAATCTCTTGATTTAGTTTGACTTAGCCACGATGAATACATTTCATTGATACATTGTCGGCTTTTTCGAGACGAGAAGGCAGGTTGAAAGTGGATAGCGAAGAGAAAAGCATGACACAGATGACGATTAAACTAATACCGCGTGGTAAACAATTATTTGACAGCGACATCCATGAACGATGGATGTCTTTGTCAGCGTGAGCTAAATTTGGAAAAGACAAGATTGTTCATTGAATTCCCAAATTATTACAAATATAATCGCGCTCGTTTAAAATAATAATAATTCGCATAGATTTAACGTGTGGAATTATTTAATTGTTTTCTTATAATAAAGATTCCAGTCTTTATAAATATTAAAGTATATAAAGATTATTATATACACAGAGATGTAATAAAATTTTTTTAAATCTTAATATTTTAATATTTTTTCTAATATCATATATCAACAATGATCCACACATATTATGACATATAAAAATAAACTTGTACAAGTATCTCGTCCACATTCTGTACGCATAATGTCCGGTTGAGAAAATATTGAATGGCGATAATCGAGGCAACATTGTTAGAAATTTCTATGAGCATTTATATTGTTCATAGCGACAATGATCAATTTGAATATTTTTAAGCCAGACAATTTCGACGTAATAATGCGTAATATAAGTAGCATTTGATTACGACGCTATTTTATCGCGTCGATAAATCAATACATCATTCTCGGCTATGCAGAATACCAGCTATGAGATGTTTCTCGTACTCACCTGTACCCGTTGTCGATGTCGATCCTGTTTCCGCTGCCGCCTCTCCAGTTCTTCCTTCCTCTCGATCAGCGACCTTATCTCGACGGCCGCCACGGGAGCCGTCGTATCGTCGGGCACATTGCCGCACGAGGGTAATCTTCTCAACGTGGAAATCGACTCCTCCTCCCCTTCGCTGTAACTCTCCACCATGAGCTCCGAGTCGCTCTGGAAGTGAATTAATTCCGTTCCTTGGATAATGAACCGTGGCAGCGATCGGATTTAACGGATTAGAAATTCCGGAGAGGTAAATCTCAATCTTTACTTTTCCGCTTCGATGTAATTACGAGGTACTTCCATGTAACTGCTTTTATTATTATTTAAGTTATTTAATTAATTTAATTTTTTATTTCTTAATTTCTATTTTTCTATTATTATTTTTCACTTGAGTAATTTAATTAATTAATTCGAGTTATTCAAGCAATTTTAAAAAATTTCCTCCTTTCCATAACAATATACAATATTCATATTTTTATTATTTTATTATTATTATTATTATATATTGTACCAAGAAAAATTAAAGACTATTTGAAGACGTAAATTCTTCGCGTCTTTTCCATCCGCCATTTCGAATCCGGAAAATCGAATCCGGACTCCGCGGGGCTTTACACAGCGCACCGTACGCGCTTTCTGCGGGTAACTAAGATTTACGACAGTTACCAACATACCTGTGTCGGCGGCGAACTCGGCGAACTCGTGCTCGAGGCCTCGACCACGGAAACATATTCGCTGACGCCGGTCTCGCTCTTTTGCAGTTTCAGCACCGGTGTCTCCAAGCCGCATAAGAACACTTGACCGAAGAAGAGGATCTTGCTTATCCTTAGACACACCTGTGCCACTTCCTGAAAACACATCGCGAATTTATCTCATGACAACGCGGAGAGATACTCCGCGGTGACACTAATATATATACTAAGATTCTTTTCCGGACTTAAAAATTTTTCTCGAAATATCGCGTTCTTTTTTATAAATTTAAATAGGACAAGCAATATTCTATTTTCAAATTTATTATCAGCAATAAAAGCACCGATCTTACCATGTCTTCCGTTTTCTCCACGTAGCAAGGATCTTGCGGATTCAACATGAGCGGCGTGAATCCTGCCAAGGTGATATCCTCCGGTAATTTCACGAGCTCCAGGTCTAAAAAGCAAACGTAAAAATTCGATACGATCTGTATGCACGATAAAATCCTCGCGTGAAATTCTGCGATCGTGCCAAATCGAATCCTCTTGCAGAGGAGGGGATCCTCCGTGCGGAGGAGGATTGACCCTGAATTTATTCGCAAAGATCCATATCACGTCTCGCGAAAGGAGCTCAGATATTTATGCAACGCGCCTTAGAATCGGTAAAATGTGATCGCATTCTGGCGACCCGTCGTCTTTCGCGTCCAGCATTAAATTCTGCTAATGCAATATAATCATAGAATAATAATCCGCGATGCGAAAAATGAATAAAGTTTCCGAAACTTTTTCATATGCAGAGAAATCCTAGAGAAATATATATTAGTTTTTTTTTTTAAAGAATACTTTTATATCATTTATAAAATTTTAATTTTTTCTTTTATCTTTTAAATAAGAAATACAAACAAAATTTTTAGCATTTCTAAATATGTTGAAATGTTGAAGATATTATTTAAATTTAGATAATTAATAACAAAAAATATGCCACGTGTTTTCTATCTCGCTGATGATTTCGGGACAGACAATAGCTACGTTAACGCGAAAGACTGAAAGTTCGCAACTTATGGACTTGACAAACTTATCAATTCTAGTCAGCCAGTGTGATCAGTCCTACCTCACCGTGTGATATTCACTATGAGCAACGCGCATACTGACGTTCAGTATGTACATACTCGGTTTAGAGGTAAGTATACCGTGAGCAAGGACGCGCCGCGAAACTAGAACGCTCGTTTCCAGGCGACCGGAGCCGTTGGAAGACCCAGTTCGAGACCAAACTCGCGATCGCGAATGATCCATGAAAATAGAAACTGGTGATCTGACGAAAATAGGAAAATTGACCGTGCTTTTCTCGCGAAAATCGTACGCATTCATTCGCGATCATTAGTTGATTCCGAGATTGATCTACCAATGATGGTCACCGACAATTGCTTCTACTGGAATTGACAATTTTCAAGAGTGGCCAACCTTTAACTTTCGCGATGACGTAGCACTATGTCTCTTCGCTTTAGAAAAAATTTCAGAACCGTTGATGTAATATTAAGTTTTTCTTGAATTAAAACTAATCAAGGGAGGCTAATGTGTATTTGTACATTGTTGCTTTAGAATGATAATTAATTCCGCATAAAACCATCCGCAATCTGAAAGGCTTAACGGTACCATTTGGTCGGATGTATGCTGTACCGACAAGATGCGTGCTAGATGCATGTATACGGAAAAATCGACGGAATACGTCGTCGGGTCGTCTCGAGATCTACACGTGAATGAGCTTCGGGGCAATGCAATTTGTGTATTCATAACGTAAACGCGGCGAGCAACATGTAGTGGCTGATGTGGCTCGCACGCATGCTGAAAGACCATTGGCCACACGCTAGTAAACGGCCGCAAGAGAATGGCACTGCAGTGGTCATGTCGAACGTATTCACCGTTACGCAACCGTCGCGCCAGCTACCTACGGGTCAACAGACCGGTCACCGACTTCGTCGAACACTTCGAGGAACTCGCGACTTTTTCGATTAAGACTGGTCCAGGTCTGTCCGCTCGAAAGAATCGCTCTCGCGTTGCTCTCGGTCGAGCAGCCTTCGATCGGATCTCGTTTCGCGCACTTTAAGATCAACTATCGGCAACTTGCGCTCGATCTTCGCGATACATTAAAAGCCCAGGCTACTTTAAAAGATCAAAAAGATCGATCTTTTTTATATTTTCTAAAAGTATGATGTCTGAAGAATGTCTTATTGAAAAAATCGCAAAATTAACGGAATTATAACTTTGAATAGGATAGCGCGCGGGTGTTCAAATAGGCTTGCTAAACTTTTAACACGTTTTTCTCAAAATACTATTTTCAAAGTTGGTGTGACAAATATCTTGTAAACTAATGGGCCGAATATCTTCATTTTTTTTTTTATACAAAAGAACTTTTTTTTTGGAGATACTAAACCTAATTAAAATTTAAAAAATTAATATTTTTCTGATCTTGCAGAAATAAAAAAATTTCAAAAAAAGACTGAATATCCAAGATTTAAAAATACTGACGTACTGTTTAAACATCAATAAAAACATGTATATATAAAGCATTAGAAAGTTCAATTTCTAATATTCTTGATAAAAAATTCTTAAAAATTATCAATATTTCATACTATTAGAATAGACTGGGCCCTTAATTTCTCAAGTCTGTTGATTTTTTTAATTGCCCTTCTAGCATGATTTTTTTTAGATTAAAAAATCGATGTAAAAATTGTTTTACAAGAAGTCTTTTTCGCAAGAAAAAGACTATAAATTAACATACCTTTATTCTCTTCGCGATCTTCGGTATCCTTCCCCTGAATCAAGGTTGTCCTGGTATAATTTAATTTTTCTAAAAGATTCACCATCGTTGCCAGCCTGGTCCACGCATCTCCCGGCGGCCTGTAACATAACGAGAGGATCGAGTTGAGCTTTCTCTCTAAATTTCATGATAACATGCATCCAGAATGAGTCGGGTGTCTGACAGAATCGCCCACGGCTTCATCTGCGTCAAGATAAAGATCCCCAATGATTTGGCAAAAACTCTCAGAGAAAGACTGGATTCTCTTCTAATATATAATTTAAAGACGAAGGAAAAAATTCTTAATAATATCGAGGCCAAATGTCGAATTTATTTTCTGCGCGATTAAACCTTGCTTCAAAGATTGTGTCGTCGAACTGTGATTTGTGATTCGCGCCGCTTTGAGATGATAATTCTTAATTCCCCAAAGTATATTTTTTACTAAATTCTTCTTGACGTTACTTGACGCCACCGTGGCGCCTTAAAAGGCCGACGACCTCTCCTCCTTTATATCTCCTGTAATATTCGGGACTAATTTTCTACGGATTTCAGATTCCTAATTATTGTTTTTGTAAGAGTGACGGCGTAAATGCTCCGAAAACTCGTGAAGTACGCCGGCTGTGTAAACAACACTTGCTCAAACATTTGCTTACGAAAAAAAATTGAACCGGGTAATTTGCTACTTGATTTTCTTCGCTACTGGCTCTGACATGAGGTAAATATTTTCAGTTTCTGGATCATTCGTCACGCGAAGAATATTCCCGCCGCAGGGTACGACAATTACCGCGACGTGACCAAGAACCACCCATGGAATTCTGTTTGCCGAAAATACAGTCTCGATGCGCCGCACGAAGGTACATCGAGATATCCACGGAGATTTTGCGGTTTCGGAGAGCGATCACGATGCACGGCGTGAACGCGCGTTCACGAATTTTCGCACGCTTTTGCGTGCGCGATTTCGCGCATTTACGACGAGATACATAAATCCGAGACGCAATTGGCTGGCTAATACAGAGTGTCTACTTGTAAATTTTGTAAACAAATTTCTCTGAAAATTCTCTAATCCTTGTAAGAGTATTTTTGTTCAAAATTCTAGACAAAGAGAATATTTTAAACATCTTTTTTGGTGCAACTTTCTAAAATAAACTTTTTATTGCCTGCGATTTTCAATGCTTTGCATTCATACGAAGAAAAACACAAAAAAACTCAAGTTTCAAGTACTAGATTCGTAAATGAACTAAAAAAAACTGAATAACTTTCGTAAGATAAGCATGTTTCATTTGCATATACAATAAAATTTTCTTTGTGTCACTGAAAATTGCAATAAAAAATATGTATTGCATATTTAATATTTTATTAAGACATATTGAATATAAACACTAAAATATAGATATATATTTATAATATATTTTAAACACATAATCCACTTAGCTCGCCGACTGTATATAATATGAGAGCAAAATTCTTAAAGAGAGAATTATTTTTTTAATTCCCAGTAAAATTCTATAAAAATTCCCTAATTTTTCCAGGTACAAGTAATCCTTGAGAATTTTAAATTTTCCATGTCTTTCCAGGGAGTAGACATCCTGTAATAAAATTTATATCCGACCGTTCGTGTCGCGCGAAGAAGACGAGAAAACATCGCGAGTTCTCGCTCGCGAATATGATATATCCCCGCACGACTATTTATTATCAATGTCGAGAATTATGCATTGGAAATTATTTGCGGCGAGGGAGAGCCGCGTAATGCGCGCGCGGCGTATAATAATAATAGATCACGGATTTATACGTTTAATGTACTTGGCGTACGCGACCGACGGCGGCTCGTTCCACCGACGTTATTAATGATCTATCTACGGCGTATGAGGTACCTATACGTTTCCATTCACCACTTCCGTGTTACTGTAAAGCCAAAGTCACCCGGTAAATTAAAGGCCTAGTCTATACTCTAACAGTATAAACAATTGATAATTTAAAATACATTTTTTTTTTTTTTAATATTAGAAATTGATCTTTTGGCCTTTTTACAGATGTTTTTATTGATGTTTGAACAGTACGCCAGTATTTTTAAATCTTGGATATTTAGTCCTTTCTTGTGGAATGGAATTTAAAATATTAATATTTATTATCTTTCTGATCTACAAGAAACGAAAAAATTTCAGCAACAATTAAATATTTAATTTTAAAATGACATTATTTTGTCATTTTTCAATTTTTTCTCATAAAATTAGATTCAGTATCTCAAAAATATCCTACACAACTTTTCTTGTCCGACACGAGCCTTTGCGCGTACTATGTTCAATAATAACGTGTGACATCATGCTACTCCTCGTGTAATTATCTGAAATAAAAGTATTCGATTTAATTTTATTCCGTAGAATATTTTTGGGATACTGTATCTGTGTATCTAAATGGAATTTAAAAAATTAATATTTATTATTTTTCTGATCTACAAGAAACGAAAAGCAACAATTAAATATTTAATTTTAAAATGATATTATTTTGTAATTTTTCAATTTTTTCTCATAAAATTAAATTCAGTATCTTAAAAATATCCTATACAATAAAACTAGACCGACTTTTTTCATTTCAGACAATTATACAAGGAGCCGTGTGTCATACCGTTTTTGAACAGAGGCTCGTATTAAACAAAAAAAAAAGCTAAATATCCAATATTTAAAAATATTGACGTACTGTCATCAATAAAAACACATATAAAACGCCAAAACTTTCAACTTCTAATATTCTTCAAATAATTGTTAAAAATCATCCATTTTTCGTTTTATTGTGCAGACATCGAACGATCATTTACAATTTACAATATACGTCACGATTCCAATGATAACACGTGAGAGGAAATCACACGAGAGGGAAGACTTCTTAATCGATCGCTTAATTTCGCGACAATTTCCGGCGCGATTAATCGATCGGCATCGTTAAAGATCATCGATTAATCGCGTCTGGGACTCGGATCGTGGAATCCACGTCCGGCATCAACGAGAATCGTTGCTCTGGTCGTTCTAAGCTAAGCAATCGGCGAACAAGATCGAAAGAGGATCGGCGGCCGCGTTCGTCGTGGCGTCCTTGCCAAGGAAACGCTTGACTCACGTAATTGTTAATCGCTAACAAGCAACAATAATTAACCTATCGCAGCCGGATAGTAGCCGCGAGAGTTAAGCGCGCATCTCGAGAACGAGACATTGCAAGAGAAAAAGAGAGAGAGAGAGAGAAAGACAGATATAGAGACTGGGGGAAAAAAAGAGGGGAGGGAGCCTTGAGGCTCTCGTTTAATGGACGGTAGATTGCATCAGTCGGACAAGCGTGACTCTCGCGCGCTCTTTTCTCTCGCTCTTATTCTTCTTTTATTTTATCTCATTAGCGAAACTCGCGCCGAGAGAAGCGACGACGCGCCGTGCGTCGATAAGATGAACGGGGTGTCTCTTTCTCTCTCTCTCTCTTTCTTCTTTTCTCGGCGTCCCTCTGCACGAGGTGCACGCCAAAAAGTATTCGCTCACGCTCGCGGATGATCAATTCGAGACGCGCCGACCCGATCTCTTTGTGAAACGCACTGGTCCTTGGGGGCCCTCCAGCACCGCAGGACACCGGATCGGGATTTCCCCGCGCTTTTAGGTTCCTTATTTAGCGACGTGACTCAGCGCAGGGCACGTCTGTCACTGCGCTGACAATTCGGGGATTCAACGGGTTCGCGAACGAAAGAGTAAAATTCAAATCGGAATTCATTATGAGTTCGAGCAAGTAGAAAATCATCGAATAAAATTGAATTAATAAACACGTCTTGCTACGTCCAAAAATCTTCGTAATATTAGAATCCATGATGATTGTGTAATCTTTTAAAAATTATCCCAGATCATTCTTTAATTCAAGATTGTATTATACATTATTATACTGTATTATATCACATTTTATACATATATTATATTTTTTATTATATTATTATATTATATTATATATCATATATCTTAATGTATTATTAAATATGTAGATTATATCACAAATATCTTTCAATTTACTGTACTTTTTTGTTTTATGTATATAAAAAAATATATATATATGTATATGTGTCGAATATCGAACAGATTCCAGGTTAACAAAAGTTAACAAAAGCACAGGCACACAAAATTTTTCATTATAAATATATAAAACTCTTTACGAATATACTCGCCTCGTTTAATCCGCTGGTAATTCATGCAACTTCCTCAATAAATTTTATCAATTTTATTTTATATATATACAAATGTGACACTCGAGTATCAGTAGTAACGCGTTGCGATCTGTGCTTTTTCCTCTTTTCCGAAAATTCGTCGACCAAATTACGGCGACGGTTTCTGCCCAAGAATTATGAATTAGAAACGGAATGTGAAACGTTACGATCACGAACACGTGTCGCACCACGGGACCGCCGCGAGTGTCGCGATGTCTTTACCCGCGAATTTCTCACACCGGGGCACGATTCGCCGAGGCATCACCGCGCGAGGAAAATTAATAGTCCGATACAACAGCCATAATTCAAAACACCTCAAGTGTCAACCTGAATTAATAGTTGCTATGCGCAAGTTGGCGAAAGCTACCCTAACGAATCTCTCTCTCTCTCTCTCTCCCTCTCTTTCTCTCTTAGTCTCTCTTCTCGACGCATCTCTCGGGGAATTAATCCGTTTGACAAAAGCGGGATGTGGACCAGCATCCTCTCTCTCGGAGTCCGCGCATCGTGCAAAACTCGCGCGCTCTCGCAGAGAGTTAAAATTAGAACCGATGCGGTAATAATTAAAGCGAGACAGTAAATTATGCATTCGCGACGAAGCGTGATAGAAATAGTGTGCCGCGGGTACCTGTGCTTGGCGCGCGACGAGGCGCGAGAGATCGAGACTCGATACGATGCAGCGGTTGACCGTGACCTACGCCACGCTCGCTTCCATCACCTACCTCCTCCCTGTCCCCTCCCCCCTCTCGCGACTAGTGAGATATCGGCTCTCTCGCTAGAACAGGCTCGCGTCTATTGAGCAAAGGCACAGCCACAATCGAATGGAATGTGTACAAAAATTTTTGTACGCTCTTTTATCGCCGATTTGTCATAGTATTCCCGATTTTGTTGTTTCCCGTTTCGTTTGAGAGCCCAGAATCTATTCGATCGGTATAAAAAATTGATGATTTCTAAGAATTTTTTTTGGAAGAATATTAGAAATTGATCTTTTTGGTGTTTTATATATATTTTTATTGATGTTTAAACAGTACGTCAGTATTTTTAAATCTTGAATATTTAGCTTTCTTTTTGTTCAATACAAGCCTTTACGCGTAGCATGTTTAGAAAAGCATGGTTCGATGTGACATGCTATTCCTCGTGTAAATGTCTGAAATAAAAAAACTCGGTCTAGTTTTATTCCGTAGGATATTTTTAAGATACTGAATTTAATTTTATGAGAAAAAAAATGAAAAATAACAAAATAGTGTCATTTCAAAATTAGATATCTCAATTTTGCTGAAATTTTTTCATTTCTTAAAAAATTATAAAAATATTAAATGTTAATCTTTTAAATTCTGAGTTCAATATTTCAAAAATATCCTGCGGAATAAAACTAGAGTTTTTTTTTAACTTCAAACAATTACACGAGGAGCAGCATGTCATACCGTCATTTTTGAATATACTACACTCTCGTATTGAACAAAAGAAAAACTAAATATCCAAGATTTAAAAATACTGACGTACTGTTTCATCGATAAAAATATGTATACGCCAAAAATATCAATCTCTAATATTTTTCAACAAAAATTCATAAAATTCATCAATTGTTCATACTGCTAGAATAGATTGGGCCCTTAAGTCTATAATCTAGCACACGAAAGATTTTTGAAAGCTAGAGTGCCTCAGGCATATTTAAATGAGTCTGATTATAATTTATTTCGATATGATAGCCAAATGTGATTAGGTCACGATACGATTGGTAGCATCTCGCGCGCTAATGATCCCTTGCTCCCAGAATCTAAGTTATCTCAAGGCCACACGTCAACAGAGAGCATGATTGCGCTACATGCTAAGTGCCTCGCGCTCCATTCGTGTTGTCCTTAAGGACAGCTAAAACCCCGAGGCTGAAGACGATCGAATATAACAATCATTTTCGAATTAATATTCTCCTTCGTATAATAGTCTCTTCCGAGCAAAAAAAAAACTCTTTGAAGGATATATACGAAAATGATTAATTTCCAAGTCTACATTGTTTATCGATACCAAAGTAAGAATAACAAAATCGATTAATCTCCACCCTGCTATTACATTCATTTAACCGCACTATCCAATCTTAAATTTAAACATTATGAAAAAACATTTTAATGTCCACTCGAGTCAAAAATTACTGTTCAAAATATGTCTTGTATTATACATACACATATCTAGTTCTCATTGAAAATTAATTATTAATTAAAAAACAATTGTTAAAAAAGGAGCTAATAAATGACAATCATTAATGAATAAGTACGCTCTCGAATGGCAGAGATGCGTGTCTTGCTATCGGTATTCTCGATGATCGAGTTTTTGCGGACTTAATAAATACTTAATAAATTTTTTTCAACAACGTAAATCTCGCGCTAGCGCGGCTGGAAGTCGCGCATGATTGCAATTCAGACCGCACAAGCCACAAAAACGCAAGGTCGAAAAGTTCGAGATATATCGTAAAATTTAATTCTAACGCTGGGTCTCCGCGGTTAACAAAGTTGTAATTAATCCGCAACACAGAAGGCAGTCTATGAAGCGAACAAAACTTATTCGTACGTTGCGAAACAATATAAAAGGATTAGACGCCAAAGCTGAGAACTACTATGACTGAAGATCACGCTAATCCCATTTCGCTGATTGAGTTTAAAATTAAGAAACTTACCCGACTCTGTAATCCGTGCAAGATGGCGGGGGATTCCAAACGGTACTATGGCAGAGCATCCAGTCGCACCAGATCTGCAGAAACAAACATGAAAAAAATAACAAAATTTATAGCTCATTAATACAAAATCGAAGGAAGCATACGTGATTAATACAAGTCAAAATATATGTTAATTGTTTCAATAAAAAAATTGTCTACGCATGAAACGTCGACTTGTAAATGTGAGAAATAATAAGAGCTCGACATTAAAAAATGCGCCAGAATATTTTTAAAAAATTATTATTTGGTAGAGAAAAAGCTTTTGCGCCAAAAAAAAATGTAACTATTTATAAAAGCATTTGAACAGCAATAATATAAATATATATAAAATTATAAGAAAATTTTAATTATTTAGAATATCAAAGATATTTTGAAATTTTCTCTTCTAAAAACATGTTTTTTCCGAGGAGATAATAGTATTTTTCGACATTTTTATTTGTCATTTACAGTTTTATCAAATATTCAATTATCGGAGAAGGCGCGATAGTACTTGGCTATTTATAGACACTCCCGCGAGGCGCTTTTTTCATCGAGCACCGTCCATCTATCCTCAAAGTGAAACGTATTTCAACGGCCTTGTATCGCGTCTACTTTATCGGCAATATTAATGGTCTCACCCCTTATATAGTCGTATGCGCGACTCTGGCTATTATTCCTTGTATCAGCTCGCATTCCGATAGTAATCATTGTTCCTTTTTTTTCATATATGTTAATTGTTTCAATAAAAAAATTGTCTACGCATGAAACGTCGACTTGTAAATGTGAGAAATAATAAGAGCTCGACATTAAAAAATGCGCCAGAATATTTTTAAAAAATTATTATTTGGTAGAGAAAAAGCTTTTGCGCCAAAAAAAAATGTAACTATTTATAAAAGCATTTGAACAGCAATAATATAAATATATATAAAATTATAAGAAAATTTTAATTATTTAGAATATCAAAGATATTTTGAAATTTTCTCTTCTAAAAACATGTTTTTTCCGAGGAGATAATAGTATTTTTCGACATTTTTATTTGTCATTTACAGTTTTATCAAATATTCGTCGGATATATACAAACACTCCTTTAATTTATTTACTGGCGACATCTCAAAATTAAACATTAATTTTTACGCTCCTGGACCGAAATATGGAGCTCACACATTATGATCAGTTCTTCCAAAGGATTTCAATGCGGTTCGGCAACAACTACAAAACCTTGTTGAAGTCATGGATTAATGACAAGAAGAGGATTTGTACTGCGAATCAACAATTAATTTTTTTACTTCGATGCAGAAGATACGATTTAATTCCATCGCATATTCAGAATTTAAAAGTAAACATTTCTTTTCATAGTAGAGATATTATTTTCATTCCTGAAAAGACATTAAATATATAAAAATAATTCAAAATATCACTTTACAAGGACTACATAAAAATACAAGAAACATTCTTATAAGAATTAATTTCTTTGGGGAGATTCAGGTCCGCCATATTCTAAGTAAATCCTGAAAACTTGCTCGAAATAATTTCATCTCGCACAGGATACACCGTCAGAAATCGTCAGTATCATCGCTGAACAGAAAATCATTCCAATTGATTACGGACAACAACTCGTGAGGTGAGGAGAGAAAGAGATGCGAGGGTGGACCTACCGCGCGCGGCAATATCTGGATGGCAAATTGGTGATGATTGTTCATCGGAGGAGGGGAAAATGCGTAAGTTAATGCCGGTAGCGATCACGTTTCGGTCATGATGATGATGATGATGATGATGATGATGATGACAATGATGATGATGATAATGATGATGATGATGATGATGATGATCGGTGATGCGCAATCTATTCGGCGTCGCGACCGGATTCGCCATTGGCGGTCGCGCGCTCTTCTCTTCGGGGCTGTCATTATGCGTCGTATCGAAGCTACGTGACGGGACGCGGCTCCCGGCGGATTCCAAGGAGCGAAGGTCACGGCACGACCTTCTGCGCCATCTCCGAGAGTCATTTCCAGATCGTTTCCTGGAGATGTTTCCTCGAAGGGAATCTGCCGGTGTAGCGAATCGATTCCTCGAAAGGGAACGATACTCTCGATAAACCTAGGCAGTATCGTCGTCCACGAGAGAAGTTTAATTTGCAGTAACAGAAAATGGTCTGAATATCATCCTCTGTAATTTCGACGCCCATAGGGAAGATAAATTTTCTTCATTTCGTCTATTGGTTTGAGTCGTAAAATTGCTATATATATATCACTACAAGAATTATTTTCATATTCCGAAAGCGTGATACGCTCTTGCAAAATTTCAAAGATTTCATTAAAAATTTTATTAAAAAAAAATCATAGAGAAAATTTATAAAAATATTAGATCCACAGTATCGACATATAAATTAAATCTTAGAATAAATTCGAAATAAAGAGTATGATTAAACTTGTCAATATGCTATTGATGTTTCACAGGAAAGAAAGAGAGAGAGAGAGATTTGTCATCTCGCGTATTTATTCGATATTTGACATATCAAGATTTTAATAACATTTTTCATTGTTCTCGAAGATGAATCGCTGATCGATACCGAATATTTCACGAGAACAATGTCGCACTCAATTATTTTCTCATCTCTATACTAGAATCGTTTAGATTCTACTATCTCACGAATACTACGAATTCTCCCGCGAGTATTCGTCCTCGGCGAACGACCCGTCGTTACCTTGTGCGTCTTTATTAGCGGGCTATAGCGAAGCTAATTAGATGAGCGTCGCTAACGATGGTGTAATAGACCCGTGCAAGAACGCCATTTATCGGGACTACTAGTATTTATTAAAGAAAACGAATAATATAGTGAGTCTATCAAATTACATAGATATGGTTCTTTTCTACATTTATCGGAAAAGGAAAAATTTATTATTCTCCTTTTCCCTCCCAAGAAAAATTTTTTAATCCAGAGCAATAAACAGGGAATAAAAAATTTCTGCAAAAAAAAAATATATAGAGAATATTAAAACAAAATATGTACAAAATAAATTGAATATATATTATTAAAAGAAACACGAAAAAAAAATAAACGTATATACTCATTAGTCGACTTTATCTTTCCCTTGCGATAAAAGTTGACGGTGACTGCAAGAGTCCGAAAATACTAGTGAGCGTAATTTTTCGCGACGCGAATTAACTCTGCAGAATAGAAGGATAACACAAATCTAACAAGCGAGAGGGCAGCGCACGTCCGTGCCATCCTCCATCAAGCGTTCCATACATACGCACGAGAGCCATATTCGAAAGTGGACTCTGGCAGTTTAATTTATCGTGGACAAGGATAATAATTAGCGTTTAACCGCGAGGTCGCTCTGAGAGAGGGAGAAAGAGAGAGAGAGAGAGAGATGGCCCGTATAGTCCTCTCTCCTTATCGGGAGTGTAAAGGGTAATTAGTTAGAGAAGATTTACAGGGAGAGGCCTTAACTAATTGCCACCGCGATCATTAGCGAAACTCAAGCGTATCGTCTTCTCTCGCGTCGACTTCTCCAATTTCCCCGTCTTTCGCGCGATCTAACTGCGATCGTTAATCCGCGAATAGACGCGCTGTCGCACTGTCTCTCTTTCGGAGAACGGCGTGTAATTAAAATATATTTACGACAATTAACGATATGTAACAGCGATATCGGGACGACGGCGATGATGGGGACAAGTTTCCGTACAAAATTCTGTGGGATGGGGGGAGGGAGGGATGGTTAAACAGCAACACTCGATACGGATCAGTCGCAAGGTGAACGAACTTTGCAAAAGATACGGCACGCTTCCTCTTATCGAGATGTTTAACTAACGAAGCGAACGCGACAGAGCAAGATCCCGCGCTCTTAATGAAGTCGGTGGGTAAGCTCGGCCTTCCCGGTTCCCGGACCGATATTTTAATGCGATTACGAATAGGAAAACGGACGGGATCGAGTCACCGTGCGCAATCAAATTAGCTGTGCGCAGCTGATAATTCGATTATTAGTGATTCTGACAGACATCGCGTCTCTCGTTCGCTGGCATCGCGGCGCACCAATAATATCGCATTTTTACGCGAGATATCTTTTTCTATTTTCGAATCAAGCAAAAATGTTGTTAAAAATGATATTTACAAGTCAGTCCCATAACTAACTCAATTCAAAATAAACTCCTGAAGGGTTTATGTTCACGTTCCTCTTTTCGACAATCCAGTATTGAAACTTTATTTAGTAAGAAAAAAATGAATAAAATTTAAAATTGTTTTATTTGAGAAGAACACCTTCACTTGTGACTTTCCCCCCGAGTAGAGTGAATCTGTCGTTAGATAAAAGAATGTTGAGAGGATTCTCGTTTCCAGGCTTTTATCCGGCGTTTTTATTTTTTAACGAGAAACGATATCCCCTTAGAAAATCTTTGTCGACGCATGTTCTACAGAGAATATAAATATACATACATAGGTGTGTGTTACTCTCTAGGCTCTCTTCACACGACTTAGTCTTATCGTATATTTACGTTAATATTATGCCCGGCGGAAAGAGAGAGATGAGAAATGTATTACTACATATATCCGAAGGTCTCTCTGTGTTGTCTATTATAAATTCTACAATTTTTTTCCGTTCAAGGTATGTGATGTTTTTAGCGCTCGTTCTAAACAGACATCTCCGAAAACGATCACTTTTTTTTCTCTCTCGCCAGTGTTTTGATAGCTCTTGGGTCCTTAAGTAGTTAACGGTAAGGACGATAACCGATCGGCATTCTGGCGGCGATATCGATGAATACCGTTGTCTCTGACGGGCAAAGTACACTTGTTTCGGAGCCCGCGGTAACACAACACACGGAGAAGCACTCGTTTAATTCGGTTATACTACCCCATTCTCGTTTAGTAACGACTAGGGAGGGGAACGACGAGCAGACTATTGTCTGAGGATAATCGCGTTTTAATAGCCGACACGAGAACCTTATGTATCGTTAAATGCAGTTATAATGCGGAGCACCGGGATCCGCGCGCAAGAGGTGTAGGATGATTTTAATGGCCGCGAATATCTCGGCCGTGAGTTTTACGCATTATTT